TAGAGTTGGATTTGTTGTATTGAAAGTTCTGTCGAGAGCCACGGTGAATATATTTTCGACGAAATATAAAATGTCCGGGTGCAGAAGCAGAGCAGGTGGTGGTGAATCGTGCAAACATGGGCAGAACCTCAAAAGCTCAGCGGCAGAGTACTGGAGCAGTGCTGTCGATGTGTGATGTACAAAAGACAGGACAGTCCAGGCAAGCACAAGCACATAGTTAATCCACATAGTTGTCGGAGAATATTAAAAAGAAGCCAGGGAGCAGCGGCAGCAAAAACACGCCAGCGTTCACTCAACCGGGTTAATACTCAACATTAGTCTTTCTTTACGTTCTCACAGACATAGATCACTGTGATGTAGAAAACAATAAAGTTCCTCCCAGACTCACAGCAATATGTTTGTTTTATTTCTCGTAAATTCTACACTTGACAAATTGTAAATAACATGAATATGTCTATTTTAAGCAAGACCTACTTAGCACCCAAATGTGATTTTGCAAAAACATTTTATTCACACTGTAAGAGTTGACTGAAGTTCCACTCTTACGTCTTTCTAGTTTTCATCTCCACATTCACAAAACTGATATACCTTTTCAGACAAATTCTATATCTCACACAATTTACTTGAATGTATTTAACATGAAAATTAATGTGGCTCACTTGCAATATTTTCTCATGAGTGAGAAGTTTTGATGATTGTGTAAAACTCTTTCCACACTGAGTACAGTGATACGGCTTCTCTCCAGTGTGAACTCGCTCATGCTTTTTCAGGTGTTCAGACTGAGTGAAACACTTGTCACAATATGAGCACTTGTAAGATTTTTCTCCAGTATGAATTCTTTGGTGCTGTTCCAGAAGGTCAGCTCTAGTAAAGCGCTTCCCACACTCACAACACACATGATCTCTCACTTCATCATGTGTTTTCTGGTGCTGTTAACAGTGAGTAAGCCGTAAAAAACTCTTTCCACAGAAAGAGCACACATAAGGTTTCTCACCTGAATGGAAATGGATTTTCTCCAGAGTGAATGTGCAGATGATTTCTGAGACATGATGATACAATAAAACTCTCGCTACACTGAATACAGTGATACGGCTTCTCTCCAGTATGAACTCAATCATGCCTTTTCAGGTTTCCAGACTGAATGAAACTCTTGTCACAATATGAACACTTGGTTTTATACAACAAAATTATCAGACTCATTGATGAGGCATTAAAGGATAAAAAAAATCAGTGTAAGATTAAAGGGGTCATATGATGTTGCTAAAAAGAACAGTATTTTGTGTATTTGGTGTAATGAAATGTGTTTATGCGGTTTAAGGTTAAAAAAACACATTATTTTCCACATACTGTACATTATTGTTTCTCCTCTATGCCCCGCCTTTCTGAAACGCGTCGATTTTTACAAAGCTCATGGCGGTTGTTTTGAATGGTAGAAAGGTTTCACGGTGTTGCTGCTTTTGCTGTATTTTGGATCGGGTGAGTGCGGGCTTGGTGAGCGGAGGAGGCTTCTTTGGAAACCATTGGAGATCTTACTGATCAAAAACTTTTTTGTTATTGTAGTGAGAGACCAGTTCATTCGGGGTAGAAAAACTATCGGCCCTGGGGAGGCTAGTGATGCTAGAGGATAAATTGTCCAAGTTAATGTCCTTAATTTTTCGGAATGTTATAATGCGTGGAGGGTTGGATTTGGAGAGTGAGAGATTTACACTGAATGAGAGCAGCATATGGTCAGAAAGAGGGAAAGAATCTGCTTTACAATCAACAGGTGAGACACCCGAGCAGCAGATTAAATCTAGAATATGACCTTTAATGTGTGTGGGAAAGTTTACATATTGCTGTAGTCCAAAGATGATATGAAATATTTGGTAAGAATGTTGTTAACATTGTCCATATGTATATTAAAATCCCCAAGAAGTATTATGTTTGGTGAGAGTGTGGAAATGTGAGTCAAGAAAGCGGCAAAATCAGTAATAAAATCCTTGTTAGGCTTTGGTGGACAGTATAAAGTGGCAGCAATAGTGGGAGTAGGTCCAGAGAGCTGAAATACTGTAGCCTTAAATTAGTGACAAATGGGAACATTCACAGTTGCTATCCTCCTCGACCTGAGTCACGCGGTTGAGAGATGTAAGCAAACCCCGGAGGAATAGCATCATTGAGTGAAATAAAGTCATTTGGCTGCTGTCACGTTTCAGTTAAACATAAAAAGTCAAACTTACGCTCAACGAGGAGATCCTGCACAAGATGCCCCTTACTCGTAAGTGAGCGGATGTTAAGAAGACCAAAGTTGACAGTAGTGTTAATGAGTTTGACAGCCGTGTTAGCTGACCTAGCTAGGAGGGCCAACACACAGTGATCAGCGCGGCGACCGGTATTCCTCGGTGGACATCGAGTAGTAGACCAGAATGACTTTATAGAGTTGGATTTGTTGTATTGAAAGTTCTGTCGAGAGCCACGGTGAATATATTTTCGACGAAATATAAAATGTCCGGGTGCAGAAGCAGAGCAGGTGGTGGTGAATCGTGCAAACATGGGCAGAACCTCAAAAGCTCAGCGGCAGAGTACTGGAGCAGTGCTGTCGATGTGTGATGTACAAAAGACAGGACAGTCCAGGCAAGCACAAGCACATAGTTAATCCACATAGTTGTCGGAGAATATTAAAAAGAAGCCAGGGAGCAGCGGCAGCAAAAACACGCCAGCGTTCACTCAACCGGGTTAATACTCAACATTAGTCTTTCTTTACGTTCTCACAGACATAGATCGCTGTGATGTAGAAAACAATAAAGTTCCTCCCAGACTCACAGCAATATGTTTGTTTTATTTCTCGTAAATTCTACACTTGACAAATTGTAAATAACATGAATATGTCTATTTTAAGCAAGACCTACTTAGCACCCAAATGTGATTTTGCAAAAACATTTTATTCACACTGTAAGAGTTGACTGAAGTTCCACTCTTACGTCTTTCTAGTTTTCATCTCCACATTCACAAAACTGATATACCTTTTCAGACAAATTCTATATCTCACACAATTTACTTGAATGTATTTAACATGAAAATTAATGTGGCTCACTTGCAATATTTTCTCATGAGTGAGAAGTTTTGATGATTGTGTAAAACTCTTTCCACACTGAGTACAGTGATACGGCTTCTCTCCAGTGTGAACTCGCTCATGCTTTTTCAGGTGTTCAGACTGAGTGAAACACTTGTCACAATATGAGCACTTGTAAGATTTTTCTCCAGTATGAATTCTTTGGTGCTGTTCCAGAAGGTCAGCTCTAGTAAAGCGCTTCCCACACTCACAACACACATGATCTCTCACTTCATCATGTGTTTTCTGGTGCTGTTAACAGTGAGTAAGCCGTAAAAAACTCTTTCCACAGAAAGAGCACACATAAGGTTTCTCACCTGAATGGAAATGGATTTTCTCCAGAGTGAATGTGCAGATGATTTCTGAGACATGATGATACAATAAAACTCTCGCTACACTGAATACAGTGATACGGCTTCTCTCCAGTATGAACTCAATCATGCCTTTTCAGGTTTCCAGACTGAATGAAACTCTTGTCACAATATGAACACTTGGTTTTATACAACAAAATTATCAGACTCATTGATGAGGCATTAAAGGATAAAAAAAATCAGTGTAAGATTAAAGGGGTCATATGATGTTGCTAAAAAGAACAGTATTTTGTGTATTTGGTGTAATGAAATGTGTTTATGCGGTTTAAGGTTAAAAAAACATTATTTTCCACATACTGTACATTATTGTTTCTCCTCTATGCCCCGCCTTTCTGAAACGCGTTGATTTTTACAAAGCTCATTGTTCTGAAAAGCAAGGTTTGCTGTGATTGGCCAGCTATCCAGTGCGTTGTGATTGGCCGATTACCTCAAGCATCTGACGGAAATGTTACGCCCCTCACCATATTTTGATGCCCTGTCAGGCCAGAGCGATGATTCAAAAATATGAAAACCCATTATAAACGAGGCATTTGTTGCATCCAGTGGGGACATAATTACGGATTATAATGACATATACTGTCTTTTTACGTGTTGCATCGCGCCGCGTAAACATAAAACCATGTCTGCATTTGTGATCGGAGAAATTACAAACAACAAGCGCTACTCTACACTGCTCAAAACTCGCATTTGAATCATCAGTGGCAAACTCTTTATATATAAAAAACGTACTAACAGTCTGAGAGTCAGAACAGCCGGCATTGTAGTCTACTCTCCCAGGATCAGGAAACAGTCCTACATAAAATGTGCTGCACACATCTGAATATTTGGGTTGAAGTGTTCTGGAACAGTGTTGTACATACAACTTAACCACTGATTTCTAGTCGTGTCCTCTTTTGGAAGACCAAACAAAGTAGTTTCGCTTTCACAACGAAACACACAGCATCACACACGGTGGGCTAGAGTTAGCGGAGGCCAGCGGGCTTGAGAACGGCGCGGCCGGCGAATTCGACGAAGGAGCTTCCGGAGGGCTTGCGGCAACCACATGTGACGACCCCGGGCTGGACTCCGCTTCGTTCACGGTGAAAGCCGATTCGACGATCCAAAGCGCAAAGTTGTTGTATTTCCTCAGCGACCAGCACGGATCAGCTCTAGGCATGACGAAGCAGATATCATCCTCTTTGGGAAGACCAAACAAAGTACTTTCGCTTTCACAACGAAACACAGCGACTCCACGACATGGCGGCGGCAACAACAATACTACAGCGAGAATAAAAGTTATGCCTTCTTTCTTTGCGTGAGCATTTGGGCGGTGTTATGCAAATCTTCCCACATAGTGATGTAGACATGTGGGGGCGTGTTAGAACGAGCCGTTTTAGGTAGGCATGGCTGACTCTTAACTTTTATAAAGAATATCTCTTTGGATTTGAGACTTTAGTCTTTGCAACTTTACAGATCTTCTTTATGCACCAAGAGCTTGTATAACTCCAGAGAAAGGAAAAATTTAAATCGCATCATATGACCCCTTTAAAGTGACTAAATACTTTTTCTGTTCTCCAACAAAACAGAAAATAACATCCCCACAAATCTATTCCACAGCAAAACTAGTTTATTTGAGCTAATCTCATATTTACTGTATCTTATTCTCACAAAATATACTTGAAGTATTGAATCTGTAGAAAACATTTGCTCACTCTGACACAGAACAATGCTTTTTAATATGAGTCACTAGAGTTGTTGACTGAGTGAAACTCTTTCCACACTGAGTACAGTGATACGGCTTCTCTCCAGTGTGAACTCGCTCATGTGCTTTCAGGTTTACAGACTGAATGAAACTCTTGTCACAATATGAGCACTTGTAAGGTTTTTCTCCAGTATGAATCATTTGGTGCCGTTTCAGATGGTAAGCTTTAGTAAAGCTCTTCCCACACTCACAACACACATGATCTCCCACTTCATCATGTGTTTTCTGGTGCAGTTTACAACTGTGCAGGCTTTTAAAACTCTTTCCACAGTAAGAACACACATGAGGCTTCTCACCCGAATGAACTGTCAGGTGTTTTTTTAGAGTTGATGAAGAAATGAACTTTTTTCCACACTGATCACAGTTAAATGGCTTTTCTCCAGAGTGAAC